GCGAACAGCCGCCACAGCAAGTCTTCGTCAAAGGAACAGGAAGCAGGCGCGCTCGCCATCGAGGCACTCCACAAACAAGTGCTGCCTTTCCTCCTGCGGCGTCTCAAGGAAGAGGTGCTCAACGATCTGCCGCCCAAGATTCTCCAGAATTACTACTGCGACCTCAGCGACCTGCAGCTGAAGCTGTTTGAGGACTTCACCAAGAGGGAAGGCCAGAAACTCTCAGAGCAGGCCGGCAAGGAAGACAAGGAAGCCAAGCAGCACATCTTCCAGGCGCTGCAGTACATGCGCAAGCTCTGCAACTCGCCGGCGCTCGTTATGAAGCCGGGCCATAGATCCTACGAAGATACGCAAAAGTTCTTGGCCAAGCAAAACACGAGCCTCGAGGACCCGGCGCATGCACCCAAGCTGACGGCGCTGCGGGATCTTCTCGTCGACTGCGGCATCGGGACGGAGGGGCAGGATTCATCGGACCCACTGTACACGCCCATCAAGCCGCACCGGGCTCTCATCTTCTGCCAAATGAAAGAAATGCTCGACATGGTCCAGAACACGGTCCTGAAGAAGATGCTCCCGACAACGCAATACCTCCGGCTGGACGGATCAGTGGAGGCAAACCGGCGGCAAGACATTGTCAACAAGTTCAACAGCGACCCGTCGTATGACGTGCTGTTACTGACAACGAGCGTGGGCGGCCTAGGCCTGAACCTCACGGGAGCCGACACAGTCATCTTTGTGGAGCACGACTGGAACCCGCAGAAGGACCTGCAAGCTATGGACCGGGCCCATCGTATCGGGCAGAAGAAGGTGGTCAACGTTTACCGGCTGATCACGCGCGGGACGCTCGAGGAGAAGATCCTCAGCCTGCAACGGTTCAAGATCGACGTAGCCAGCACGGTGGTGAACCAGCAGAACGCGGGTCTAGCGACGATGGACACGGATCAGATCCTCGACCTGTTCAACCTCGGCGAGTCGGGACCCAACCTGATAGCGGAGAAGGGCAAGGAGGCTATTGAAGGGCGGGAAGAGGACATGGTGGACATCGAGACGGGCGACGTCCGACAGCCGGGCAAGAAAGCGGCGTGGCTCGAGGGCTTGGGCGAGCTCTGGGATAACACGCAGTACGAGGAGAGCTTTGACCTGGATGGTTTCCTGAAGACCATGCAGTAGTCTATCGGCTCGCCTCTATTTTTTTATTATTTATTTTTTAGTTATTCTTTCCCCAATTTGTTTGAATGCTCTGGAACAAGGGCTACAGGATATTGGGTTGGGGGGTCCACGGTATTGGGCGCCGATGGTTCGGGGCTGGACAGGGGGCGTTGTGACAGGCAAAACGGGATTTATGGGCAGGGTTTCGTGGTTGGATTGTATGAGTGTATCTGTACCTGTATTGTAGTTGCTGCTTGCTTGGCCTGCGAGACGTGGATGAGCCACCCCCCAGTTTATTCAGGCTCCCTACCTACAAAGTAGTACATACATACTGCCTTGGTTTCATCTTCCCCGCAATCCTGCTGCTTAGTAGAATATGTCATGGCGGGTGTGCCTGACAGGCCCTGGGCTATGCAGGCGTGGTGACGTTTTGGAGTGACAGGGTGACCCTGGTTATGACGTCAAACAACAACCACACCGGATTGAGATGAGAGCAGAGCAAGATGGCCGTGATAATCATAAAGTCGGCCCAGGGTTTGAAGGTATCGATTAAATAATCCCGGCGAATGATTTAATATCAGGAGTCTTTTACGGGTACTTATGGTCCAAATACAAACCTAATTGAGTACTAACACAATTTACTTACCTGTTGGGGGCTTGAATTCGATACTTTGTAGGCAGTCAGCAAGTTACGAAGTATCACTAAAACAAGCTGACCAAAGTGACCTCAAACAGAACAAGTTTGGAACCTGGTAAGCACCTCCCATCTGCAGTAATGTTTTATTTGCACAAGCACGGTTTTCAGTCTTTTTTTCTGCCCAGAACTAAATAATTTTGTTTTCTACGGAGCAGCAACCGCTTTGGGGCTTAGATGACGCGTACGTACACCAGCTTCCTTCACCCCTTGTTTCGCCGTACGATACCCAACAAGACGAGAAAGCAAACGAAACAACTTTTTGTGTTGCGTCTCACTCATCCTTTCCGGATCCATTATTCATTCAGTTTGAGGAACCAAACTCACACTGAACACCACAGCACAGCCATAACCTTGCTTGACCTCACTCAACCTCACTATCCCAGTTACATATTCGCATGAAATAAGGAACCACAAGCGGCCAGGGAATCCAAGGAGGGGAAAACAAAACAAGAAACCAGAAACATGTCTCACCACCAACCTTTCAAATCCCTCGGGCCCCTCTCTTGGAACACCGACATCGCTCCGCACACCACCGACGACAACAATGACAACGACGGCAACATCACCAACCTCTTCACCTCAACCCTCGCCAACGCCCAACTCCTAATCGACTCCATCCCCCCATCCCCCTCATCCCCCACCACAACCACCACCACCACCCCCAAATTCCCAGGCCGCGCCCGCTCCCACACCGACTCTGCCATCTCCCCATCCACCACCACACCCAACACATACACATCCACCACCACCCGCAAAGATGGCACCAGCAACAACGAAGCCGACAAGGCGGTGCTGACTAAGCTGAGCCGCGAGTGGAAGGACCTCAAGATGCACCAGGTCAGCAGCGGGAATCCGCATGGTATTGCCATGTATAAGATGGCGGCGAAGGATGGGAGGGGGGCGTGGTTTGCGAGGAGGAGTTTGCATCGGGTTGGGCCGGGGGGGGTGGGGTTTGAGAGGTGGTGAGTTTTTGCCTTTTCTTTTTTTCCCTTTATGATGGTTGATGGCTGATAACTGACCTAACAATCGCACAGGGAAGCGGCGCTAAAGGAGGAGATGCAGGTCACCCTAGATCGGGTCGAGGCCGAGCCGGGAAAGGAACCGGGGACGGGGAATGTTCGCGGGATTGGGGCCGAGAGGAGGGTTGAGAGGGTGGAGTTTGAGGGGGGGAAGATGGATGGTGAGTTTGTTCGCCCCTTTCCCATTCCCTGTTCTAAGAGGACTAGATGAAGGGGTGGATCTAACGTTCAAAAGTGTACCACGTCTCCGCCAGGTTCCCGGGCCCGACGACGCCGCGGGACTTCGTCACGGCGATCATGATGCCCAACCCCAACGGAGAAAAGAAACCTAGCAGCAGGAAGCGCGCCCCGAGACAGTTCATGGTCGTCTCGAGACCCTGCGACCACCCCGACTGTCCGCCCAGGCCGGGCTTCGTCCGCGGGACGTACGAGTCGGTCGAGGTCATCCGCGAGGTGCCCGTCGAGAAACCGCTCCGCCGAGTGAGGTCTTCGGTCGACCTTAGCAGGGACGAGGTAGATCGTCCCGCGGGAGGCGGCGAACGCATCAGTAAGGAGGCCGTGCTGCGTGCCGCGAAGCAAGCTGTGGGTGAGGAGGCCGAGTCGGAGGGCGAGGGCAGGACCGTATCATTTCGCCTGTCTGATGACAACGACAGCGACATGGAGATGGCCATCGAGTGGCTGATGGTTACTCGCAGCGACCCCGGCGGTAGTGTGCCGCGGTTCATGGTGGAAAAGGGGACACCAGGGGGGATCATAAACGATGCCGGGAAGTTTGTCAAGTGGCTTTCCTCGCAGTCGATGGACGAACTTACGAAGCCGCGGCCAGCCACGGTAAAAAGGAGAGAGAACGTAACAAAGCCAACGGGGGAATCACCGGTCAACGAAGGACCGGGCCGGCTGCCAGCAGACACCGCAGCCGAAGATCAGCTCCCGGATAGCGAGGCTGGCTACCAGGAAGGCCCGTCGGCCAGCAGCAGCGGCATCTATGGCATGCTGAGCAGTGCATTGGGCATGGCCACGACTGCAGTTGCCAACAAGGTGGCTGCATTTACCCCCGCCTCCATAGAAACCGACTCCGAGTTCAGTGACGACGAGAGCGATGTCTCAGATGGCGCCAGCTTCGCCTCGGCCGAGGATGGTTCGGCCACTCAAGTCGACACGTCTCTGTCCAGCAAAGACGACAACTCCAACAAGGCCGGCACCACTACTGAAGCCGACATCGCCTCCAACCAATCCACCCACTCGCTTCTCTCCGAAACCACCTCGCAAGCCCTCTCACGCGAAGCAACCCCCTCAGCCAAGCTTTCCCAGGCCCAGTCCCAACACGAAAAAGAACTGCGCAAGCTCCAGCAACGCATGCACAAAGCCCAAGAGAAAATCGAGCGTGCCAAAGCCCGCCGCCTCGCAAAGGAAAATAACAACAGCAGCAACGGCAACGGCAACGGCACCACCGACCCCGACACAGACTCTGCCACGACCAAATCCAAACAACAACAAGACCAAGAAGACCAAGCCATCACCCGCCTACACGAGAAACACGCCCGCGAGGTTGCCCGCCAAGAAGAGAAGTACCAGCGCGAGCTGCAGCGGCTGGCGGACAAGCGGGCGGGGGAGGAGCGCAGGGCGGCAGAGCGGCGGCGCAAGGCAGCCGAGCGCGCCGAGAAGGGCAACCTGGCCATGGAGCTGGCGCGCGTGCGAGCGGAGCGCGACGTCGCGCGCAAGGAGGTCGAGATGCTGCGGGAGCGCGTCGGCGAGCTGCAGGGGCAGAATACGAGGTTGGTGGCGAGGTTGGGGAGGGAGGGGGTTGGGCTGGAGGGGTTGGGTGAGCTTTTGTGATTTGTGATAGAGAGAGAAGATACAGATGGGGGTGTGAATATGTATGATGTATTATGAGAGGAGTCGTCGTCCTTCCTTTCTCTTCTTCCCATGGCCGCTCTCAACACCATCCATCCATCACCCCGTCCTATGTATGACATACATACCACCCCCCGTTTCTATCCCGCCCAACCAACAAACAGCCCTTCCAAATCACACAACCACCCGCCCGATAAATAAACCGCAAAAAGCAGCAACCGCACCACCAACAACCAAAAAGACGAACCCTCCCATCCCATTCATTCCAAGCTTCCTTTCCATGGACGAGCTGGGAATCGAACCCAGGACCTTTCGCATACCGAGAAAGCATGCTAAGCGAACGCTCTACCAACTGAGCCACACGCCCCAGTGCGTGCTAGGACAGGGATGGAGATGGTCCGACGGAGGCTCCGCCGTGGAGATTTCTAAAGGTTGGCAGTGTCCGTGTGTGGGCCGGGCGGGCGCGTTGAGCGATAAGGGGCGCAGGGCGGTGCGTAACAGGTAGTATAGTGGGAATTTGGACTTTGTGGAGGAGGCGTTTTCCTGGTAGGGAGTGAAGGAAAGGAGAGAAAATAAAAGGAAGGAATGGGAGGGGGGAAAGGGGGAGGGAAAGGGAAAAGGCTGGTTTAATAGATAGCGTAGATCTCGGGTATAGGCTTGGATAAGCTTTACTATCTTTTTGATCTATCTATCTATCTTTCTTTAGCTATAGTAGCGGCGTTTATACTGGAGCAGCGAGACGATTTTCTTATATATTGTTTTCCTCACCGCGGTATATCATTTAGCGGCTTGATACATATCTTTCATTCGAGTTTAGTATGTTGGCCATTGAAGCTTCCTTTTATCTGAGGCGCCTGTCTATATGTATCTCTTGGGTTGCTCTAGCAGTTTTAACTCTGGATATCCGAACGGTTTACTGGAGTGGGTGTTGGGGTGATGTGGTTTTGTAGTAACTATCGCAACTGTATGCCGGGCACCCTATGGGTAAAAAAGCCGAGCTCCAAGTGCCTATGTGTGCCGACGGAACCTTCAACTAGAAACGAAAAGAAAGCCATTAGTCTACTTTTTATTAATTCGGTTTCGTTTATTTGATTTATGTTACTCGGTTTTCTTTATATCTCCGTCCTTTTTATAATCCTTTATCTCTTTTTCTCTATTTTCTTTCTTTCTTGTTTCCTTTTCGAGTTCGACTTTTTTGCCCAGAAGATGTCGGGGTAAAGCATCTCTGCGCTGGCAGCACGTTCAGGGGTGGGCTTGATGTAAATAATGGAGGCTGTCCCCTTCCGCCGCATCTCCTTTCGTGTATCATCGGACTTTCTGTTGCATGGAGGATGAGTGTGAGCGTGGCGCTGATGGACAACAAGGAGGGTGTTATGTCAATGTTCGTGCGGTTTGAAAGGGAGTATATATCAATCCAAGGAAAGACGGGAATTACATGAGGGCGCTCTCCCACCGTCACCGTCTCAACGCCGTCGACTCCTTTTTTTTTACTCAACCGTTTACTCCCCGTCCAAACTCCCCTTTTCGCCCCCATCCCGACACCACCACTTCTTTCCCCAAACCCTTAGCAACAAGATGAAATGACCCAGAGATAAAACCAAATCAACGCCGAGGACCCCGGCGCCCGCAATCCCCCTTCTTTCCCGCGCTCCCATCCACAACCACGGGCGCCGATGCTTTCTTGAACCGCCCGCCACTCCCGTCCACGATAACCGGCCGCTCCTCCTTCGTCTTCGCTTGGTTGCTGTTAGCCGCGGACAGTAACGCGGGCACCGTGGTAGGGGTGGTTGAGTACGCAGGCTGCGACAGCGTGTCGGTGGATTGTGAAGGCTGAAACTGAAACTGGGCCTGAGCCTGAGCTTGAGCTTGAGCTTGATCCTGAGCTTGAGACTGAGTCTGAGTCTGAACCTGCGACTGCGACTGCGACTGAAACTGCGAATGTGGTGACCTCGGCGGTTTTCCGACATCTGCCTTCGAATTCCATCCCCGGCTAGCAGACTTCCCACCACCGCCACCCCCTGCATGCCGCCGACCAGGACGGCCACTGTCAAATCCATTCGGCGAGACACCCTCGACAACTAGGCGCGCCGACATCCTCCTCGCGCCCATCTTCCGCCCGTCCAGGGCCGCCACGGCCGCGTTGGCAAGCTCCGTCGTGCCGAACGTGATGTATGCGGTGCCCCTAGCCTTGCCGTCCTTGTTGAACGGCAACTCTAGCTTCTCGATCTGGCCCGGCGTGCCCCCAATCCCCGCGTGCTTGGCAAGGAGGCTCGTGACGACAGCCTCGGAGAGACCGTCTCGTTCCAGGTCGCGGATGATGATTTTACGCTGCTCCACGACGACGGTCGGCCGGGTGTTGTCGTAGTTGGGTATTTGATCTTGCTGCGGCGGCGGTATGGGGTCGACGGGCCAATCGTCTCCAGTTGAATACGCGTGGCTACTGTTGTTCACTGCCGGCTGGACAAATCCGGCGTAGCCCGGCCCCCTCGCACCGTAGGTCGTTCCCGGTGGGTAATACCCAGCAGCGTCGCTGTACTGATAGTGAGTGGGCCTGGCTGGGGCAGGAGCAGGCGTCGGGCTTGCTATCGCATGGTATGCTGTAGGATGGGGGCCCACCGCGACCTGCGGCATGAGTCCATGGTTCGAGACAGCCACTGGTTGGTACGCCGAGGAGCTGGGTGGTGTGAGAGGCGCGGCCGGGGCGGGTTGGTATCCTCCGGTGGCACTATACGAGGACGAAGTAACATACCCCCATTGCGTATCCGCCATGCTGAATGATGGACTGGCGTTCCCGTGATAACTCGGGTAGGGACTTCCCATTGCCGTGCCTGCGCCCTGCGAAAACGATCCACTAGCGTCGGGTGCTGGATCCTCAGGTTCGCTAACCACCCTCCCATTGTCTCCTCGCATAATTCTCATGGCGTGGTAGTCGGTTGGCAGGAGCTTGACGACAGTAGCTTGGTTCATGTTACGGGCATCCGCTTGGAGGGCGCGATACTCCAGCGTGTTGCCGTCGAGGTATTCTATCACCCATTACTGTCAGGACAAGTTTGGCTCGAGGCTTGGAAGTCCACCTAACTGAATGCTTTTTCGAAATTGGCTCGTCCTCTAACTCGAACGAATCCAGAGGTGGGAGGGTAGACTTCGGCGTGATCCACTTCGCAAGCCTGGGAAGCAAATGCCTTCAAGTCTCTCCATGTTGTCCGATGAGCGAGCTGTACATGGCCCGTCAGTAATGCTCAACCGAGAGCTGGTTCGCGTGTTTCACGTACGTTGGCAACTAAAATGTAATACAACCCCGTTTCTGGTCCCGGCTTCACGGTGAAAGGCTCCAGGCTTCGATGATTATGCTGGTTTCGATGCATCCTGGACTGTCGTCCGTTGACGGGAAGATGAGTAAAGTCAGGGCCACGTCGATTGGGACCGCCAACGCTGCGGCGGCAAGACCAAGTAAGATGATGCACCAAATATGCTAGCGCCTGTCAGAGGAGGCCGTCTTGCCTTGGAGGGTATCGAGATACTGCAAACGGTTACACGCCATCAACAACGGGGCCAGGTGTCCCGACCGGCTGGGCAGGGTTGTTGTTTCGTCGAAGGCTTAATCACAGACATCCGCAAGTGAATACAGAGAGGGTTGAGCAAAGTAGTTGCGTTATCGCCACATACTTGGGCGAGAGAAGGTAGCGCCAATAGCCTCTAGGGCAGGGCGAGGTCATGAAACCAGACAACAAGGGGAAGGCTGTGCTATGAGGCTGTCGGTAAAATCCCCAGCAGATGCTTGGGAGCTACATCATTAAAGAAAAAGGCCGTATTCTCGGAAAGCAGGCTGCCCTTCTCGGGCAGTCAGCTTTGCCAAAAAGGACTCGGCCGCGGACGACGCCCATTGTCAGGGATACCAAGCAGTTGTGCGTGTCGGGAATTCGGAGGTGGTCCTCGTTTAACGAGCTATCACATTTCATGCCGGGCCCTCGAGCCCCAAGACACAAATAAACGGATTGGGCAGAACCGGTCAGCCCCAATCGTCTAATAGCTGCTGGCCAAAGCTGTGCAATGGCGGCCCATCCCGGGTCCGAGATGCGTCGAACGGCACGAAGGAAGACCGGAGACCAAGCATGTCGGTACACCCCAACACCCTAAACCAGACAAGATAATCCGCGGCCCGAGAACAATCTTCTGGCACCCGAGAAGGCCAAAGAGAAGGAGCCTGTTGGTCATGGAGTGGCGTCCATGTCTCCCCGCCCACCCCCCCCAGTCAGTCCAATCAGCCGAGTCGGCTTGAGCGCGGGCCCGGCAACACCGACCGGGTTTTTGGTGCCAACAGGGTCGTGTGGGCTGCTCAGAAAGCGACAACCAGAGCAGTCGTTAATGCAGTTGGTAGTGCCTGGTGTCCGGCATGTGTGATAGACTCGAGGAAACACAGACAAGGGCCGGAGACTTGCACAAGCGCAGCCGAGGGTGCATCAAGCGGAAGAAATTTTGGCGTGGCGCTCTATAGCAACAAGCCACCATGCCGGCGGCCACTCCAACCCCGTCTTGTAACCAGGCGCGCGCTTTCGCACAAGCGCTCAAGGCACGCTAACAAGATAGATGAGTTCAAAGCAATAAACACTCACCGCTATGCGAGAGACCTGCGGGTTCCCGGCGAATTGTATGTACATACATGTATTCCGAGATGGCGCCGGAGATGTTTGCCTCACTAGCAAAGTCACACTATGCCAGGAAGGGCGACTTGTGTTCACCCGGAGGAGCTTGAGCTCAAGATTGCGTTCGGCAACCGAGTACGAGCGCAGAAGGGCCTCCCATTTCCTGAGCTATTATCTTTCTCGGGGACGAACGGAAGGGAGGTCGAGTGAAAGCTGTCGCCGGGGCCTTGGTGTCGTCGACACTCGCCCGGAAATAACCAATCGTATTGTTCGATCTACAAGATCGGGGATCCCGGGAGCGGTGACGTTGGGGTTTCGATTCGACCCCCTGTCCCAAAACAGGAAAAACAAAGAATAAGCAACCGGGTCATGAGCGGGGTTTCGCGCTCATCCTTCTGTTTGACTCGAAGCGCCGAGAAGTGCTTGGACTTTTCCCAATGGGACAAGGCTTGCATATGTCGACTTGCATCACAGATCGAGAGACGAGTGAGCTGTAACTTCAACATTCAGCTTAACCGTGTCTCCAAGCCTTGCTCAATAGGATCACCCCCAAGCTCTCGGGCCTGTGGCGCCATGCCGGATTTCGTCCACAACGGTGTCAACGAGGCTCAACATTGTTGTTGTCAAACAGAGGAACAGAGGACGGCCCACAGGCTTCTACCGTTTGTAGACAAAGGTGTCCTCCAGCTCGCTAGAATCATCGTCCTCATCCAAGACGGGGATT